TATGGACTTTTCCTCCAGCCAGGGTGAATATCGGTCGAGGAAATCCTCGACAGGGGGGTCGTACCTGTTGGGCTGGTCCATGGGGGGTCGTACTCTTGGGGGTCAGTAACAGAAGTGGTATCATGGTGCAGATAGGTAATAGGGTATAGCGCAGCAGAAAATGAAAACATCCGAAAAAAACATGATATTAAATTTTCTTTGCAGGTTCAGTCGCTCCATTCCTCCACCTTCATGAGAAGGGCGTATTTGAAGGCAGTACAAAGAATGAAAGTGCATCCCCGCAAAGAAGAGTGCCACATGTGCGCACGCGCTGCAAAGGCACCTCCTCCGCCTATCACTCGCTCCTTCTCCCTTAATACCTCGCTGAGAATGACGCTGTTGTTAGGGACCCTGTCGGAAAAACGACAACCGTGAAGAAAAAGCGCTGGGCAAATGAAGTTGTTTTTTAGGTTACAGGAATAGCACAACACACTATGTCTACTACAATACAGTTTCGTTCGAAGGTCCCCATCATATAACACCTTTCAATCGATTCTGCAACTGTGAGTGGAGGAGGGATGCATGGCTTATACCAATACCAAATCGGATGATGACGATTGCTCCTATTCTTATTGTTTGCGTTCAAAGATATTGTTCTAGACACATTCCGAGTGTTGCCAACGAGTCACACTTGCAATGGTGAATGAGGGAGCGGATTTCCAGGTGGCCGGATCCGACCTCGATAGATCCTCGACGCAATTATCTCTTCAACCAAAAAGCTGTAGAAGAAAACTAAACAGACCATCAGGAAGCGCAAACCTTCCGCTTTCCAAAACTATCTTCCCTTTTTCAGGATCTTACAATATAAGAGATATATTGCTCTTGAAGTGGCAAAAACTCGCGTGAAAATTTGGGCCTCCTCGACATTTACTCGACGAAATTTGACAGACCCTATCTTTCTGCAAGGAAGGCTTCCAGAGCAATTTCGATGCTTGTTGGAAACGCGAAATCCAGCTCTATCTAACTCTACCTCAAGCTGCTTCAAAGGTTGTGAAATGGAGGAATGCAACCTTTTCATCGAGGGTGTAGATTCGGACGTTTTTTTTTGAAATTTCGGCAAATCTGACCCAGTGACAATCGCGCCGCAGCTGCCGTTGAATCGGCCTTTGATACACTCGGCTGTTTTGATATACTCAAGCAAGAATCAAGATTGAATCGCAACCCCGTGTCTTCAGGATTTCTGTGCGTTTCTGAACGAACCTCGCCTTGAGGTCACACAAAGTTAATGCCTCTTTCCTCGAGTCGATATTTCAGTATGTACACAAAAGTATGCAGCGATGGAAGACGTGCATAGATGACAAGATGAAGCGTCCTTAGCATTATTTTGCAGAATTTTTTTTGATTTGTTTTGCAGGATTTATTTTAATTGAATTAATTTGCTCTGTTAGAGGGGGTCGTGCCAGGATCTCGATTTCGGGGGGGGGGTCGTACCTCTGCGACCACGTACTCGACACGATTTTCACCCTGCTCGGCACCACCCTCGTCATCACGGCTGATTCTGTTATTTGATTCTTTAATATTTGATTCTGAGACCAGTCTACACAGCCCAACTGCGCCCACTTTTTTCTCCAAATGCCAGTTGAGCGGGTAAATTGGTATCATGAGCGACAAATACTTCAGTTTGAGGCTAAATTACACCCAGATTCCCATAGAATTCAATCGAAGGTGCGCATCAGAAGAGAGTGGGTGTAAATGGGGGATCCCTAGTAACGACTACCGTTTAGACATCTCTGAAGATGGTTAGCCTCGGTCAACCCCAAAACGGCCCTTCCTCTTTCCCGGAACCATAAATGCGACCCATCGTTCGAATAGAATGAACGGTTACAGCAGCAATTTATATGAATCAACAGCACACGATAGGTTGATAATGATTCCGTCGGCTAACGTTTCGGCGATTTCGCCTTCCTCGGAGCCTTCCAGATTAGCGGAATCAGCTCACAGAAACGACAGTATAGCAATTATCAGGCTGATTAGAGCAGTTATCAGACTGATCAGAGTTCTATTCTGATCAGTCTGATAGGGTAGAGTTCTACTCTGATCAGTCTGACAACCGCTATACTGTCGTTACTGTGATGATTCCGCTGATTTGGAAGGCTCCGAAGAAGGCGAAATCGTCGAAGTGTTAGCCGACGGAATCATTATCAACCTCGTGTGCTGCTTGATTTCAATACTGATACTGTAAACCGGTGCCAGAGGAGTATCGTGCAGCGAATATAGCGGCCTGTCCAGCACTGAAAGTACCGCTATTCTTGCCTTCGATTGATTTAGCGAATTATAGATTAGCTGTGAATTTTTTTATTAGGATTTTCATACTGACCTGGTGCTACATATGATGAAAATTCATGTTGTAGATTGTGGGATTCGTCCAATCGAAAGAAAAGTCAAGTGCTGCTGACGATGCTAACAAATCGAAAGAGGCCGAAGAATTGAGCACAGCGAAGGAGTCGTCATCTTCAGAAGATGTGAACACAGCGAAGGAGTCGCTTGCCTTCAGAAAACTTGGAAACAGCGAAGGCGTCCTCGTCGTCAGAAGACGTTGTGGGAAAGAATTCTTCAAGAAAGGCCGTTGGAGGGGCGAACAACTCTGAAAATATGCTAATGAGGCGGCTTCTAGTTGTGCTGACAGCGTGCTTTTTCACTGCGACTGCAATGACGTCATTCGGATTCACATCCTTCAAAGTTCATGCACACCTTTTATGCGTTGTTATTTACAGTGGAGGTGAGTGTCGACCTTATCGAATTTTTTCTTCCGGTAATCAAGGTACGTTTAGCTTGGAAACTTGAGATGACAATGTCCTTTGTTAAGGGTCTGAATCTTCTCGTTCGCAGCCTGTATGTCACGTACCGTATCGCCTGGTGGCAGGCATCTCGCACTTTCACCAATTCGAGAGAGTGAAGTCTTTCGAGCACGACTGTACCGCGCGAAAAGGCTCACCGATGTGCTAAATCACAGTTTTTTATCAGTGCAATATGCACTATATTTGGTAAGTGAAATTTTTTTCCCTTGGGTGATTGTGGTTGGAAAAGATGGCAAGGGAAAGCACAAAATATCATACCTTCCAGTCGCAACTCGTTGGGCACATTAGGTGGTTAGGTGGGCACTAAACCAGATAATCTGGAGCTTATACCACTTAACACGTATGCGTCTTGGACGATGAGCGCCTGCTTGTGGTGTGGGCGGGGGGTGAAAATAATGCAGGCAGTTGTGTTTGAAAAAATGGTTTACAGATGTCCTCGAATATTAACTAAGCGATTTACTGAGTGGGTTGTGCATTTTCGGATATCCTAATGGAAGTCAATTGGAGGTAAGAGAGTATCACCCATGAATAGCGAATCCATAATCCTGAGCGATCGCAAAAATTCCTTTGCATAATGGCGTGATAGAAAGAGGTGATGCGGCTCTTGTAGTAGTCAAGTAGGGTTCTTCGGTGTTTGTTCAATGTTTGACACCCAGTGGGCTTCAATCAAGGGTTCTCAATGGCAGAGGTCGGTCTCAATGGCGGAATCAACCGTCTTGGGGCGGCAAGACATCAAGGCATAGATATGGCGGTATCTGAAAGTTCGGATTTATTATCTCGGCGGAACCTTTTTTAGAGATCGAGATAGGTAGCAGGTGGGAGTGAGAGGAGTGAGGCCAAGGTAAGACTACCTGATTCGTTGGTTTGGGTACCCGACACCCAACGCCGTGGGAAGGCAGAGGCGTAGACGGGTCCACGGGCTAGTCGCCATGCGTATATTGCGCAGTTCACGTTCATCAGGGGGGCGTCTCACAGCAGGGTCAACCGTCCGTTGGACAAAGTCCAACGCGACGACGAGAGTAATGCCGAGAGTGAACGTACGCACGGAGACACAGACGGCTCGCGGGTGGCGAGAGTGAATGCCGGCGCGGAGAGCGGTCAACATCGGTCCAACGTCGCTCCAATATCGGTCCAACGTAACGGTTGACTCCCATGAGCTTTTGAGGTGATACTGATTCAGCATTATAACTAGAAAAAAATGATAAAAAAAATGGAAAAGGGGGGCAAAAAAGAAACGAAAAACATGCCATAATGTTTACTGTGGAACAGATCGATGTAGTTTCTCTGTATTTGTGGCGTTTCATTGTGGTATGAAAAAAGGTTGTGGTAGAAAGTCACCGTAGACGTTGCACCTCTTGCAGTTCAATTATACCACGAGACAGTTATTTTGTTCTGCTTACCCTGAATGCGCCCTCGGTACTCCCGCAGCTGTCGATGCTGCCCACTTTTTAGCTTCAGAAATGTATGCACATGTTGCGATTTATAGAAAACACGTCATCCTAATTGGGCGCGAAATTTGACCTGGAACTGCAAGTGGCGCAAGGGGGGGGGGGGGTGACCCCATGTTACAAATCCGTCTAGAAAACACAAGAAATCCGTAAGGAAATAGAAAAAAAAGATTTTTCTGCAGGTAATCGGTACAATAATCAATGGCAAACTAATCCCTCTAGTATTCGTGGCTCGACTCACTCATCATCTTCTTCAGATGGCTAGCAATGTGTACGATCATTTTACAGGACGTGAAACGTCAAGATTTATTGATTGATTAGGTCTTATCGCGATTAACACCGTAACTTATCGCATGTCACCCAGTGATACTCGAATGTAAGAGCCGTTCAGCTTCTATTTTTATTTATGTATGATTCAGAGTTGGCGAGGTAGGCGATTGGGCGAGGCGATCAAATGATGAGAATGATAAGTATCGATTAGGCGTACAGGAAAGTAGGTGTTCGGGTAGTCGCTCAGAGAGCCGTCAGACTCGGCGATTGTGTATGCGACGGACAAGCGACGGGCGATCGCGATCGATACGTTCATGCTTAACCGCTTAGTCGAGGCGAGTCTCTTCCTTGTCGCCCAGTCGACAACTCGCCTACTCGCCGAATCGCTTGAATCATACTTTGAACATTGCCTTATTCACTAGTCATGATTCTCCTTCCTAACAATCCTTTCCATATAATATGTGTTTGATGAGCTCAATAATTTAGTAAACTCTAGGATCAGGTTAGGAGTCAGTTGGTGGTGTCCGTAAACCTTTGACTGACTTTATAGACGTCTGGGAAGATCGCGATTTCTATATGATACAACCATCTTCCTCACTTTGGCCCATACAACGCACCCATCACTGTGTTGTTTCGACAGCGCTCTTTTCACCACGTAGACACTCAAGTTGAATTGAAGATGTGAGAGCTGCATCCATAACTATGCGAACCGTAGGTGCTGTTTTCCTCGTATGAAGGCTAAAAGACCTCTCATGTAAACAAAACGATAATTACCTCAGGCCGAAAGACTGAGGCAACGTTCCCAGCGGGATTTGAAACAGAGAAGGAGCTCAAGTCATGGAATTGATGAAACTTCGGGTGTGGTTCACTAGAACAGAGACGACTATCTTTCGTACTTGGCTCAGGCGATATATTTTTGTGTTGGCGGAGACTCAGTTCCCCCACTTCAACCCTACGTTGTTACGAGTAACAACGGGGGGGGGGTCGTACCTGGTTGAGTTTGTAGGAGGGGGGGTCGTACCCACTTTAGTCGCTCGAAATCACGTGTGGGATTGAGGTGAAACTAAGATTTCGTGGGTAGTAGGCTGGTGCGAGAGTATAGGTAAAAAATGGGTTGAAATGGTGGAAATAGAAGGAAATTTTCGGAGATATTTACCGTTTCATAGGGGACTGTATACCCTCCCCCCGCTCGACGGCATTTTTGGAGGAAAAAGTGGGCGGAGGGGTGGGGAGATTTTTGAGGGAAGATGGAGATGGTGGAGGTAGGGAAAAGGGGGTCGTATCAAATCCACGTTGGGGGAGGGGGGTCGTAAAAATTTTTCGAAAAGTAACAACGATAGGACAGACCCTGGTTCCACTCTGATGATGGGTGAACTTGGAGTTTTCGCATGGAAATACGTGCCGCGCTGCGAAACTCGAACAAATCGCTTTCTGCCCTAGCGACCCACATCCTGAAACTTCTGCCACTTTTGGATTGAACTTGTGGCCCTGGCAGCAGGGCACGCGTGCGTTTCTTTGCAGACAGCAATTTAAGACACAGGGTAATGGACGTTGTATCTGGCATAGGGCGAGTATGAGTAGTGACCTGCATCCGTCTAAGACAGAATAGGCGCTATAGTTTTAATGCGCGTTTAGGGTACAGCTTTTTGATAGATAGCACAGATCTGACTAGCTGTGTTCAGCGCAGAGTCACGTCTGCTAAACCGATACGAAAATTTTACGGACTCCCCTTAGAGGGTTTGGAATCACGTGGGACACGCACACACCAGCACCGTTTTCCTCCGGTCCGCGCTGCTTATTTGTAAACCAACACGGGCTGATCGGAAGAAGCCATTTATTACACGGGTCAAACACCTTCGGTAGTTTGGACACTATAAATATGAGCTATGCGAAAGGATGGCGCCGTGGTGTGGGGGTGTTTCATGTATGAAGTGGTTAGGTTCAAAATCCTCGGGCGGTGGTCATCCTGGTTATCGTTTAAAGCCTTGAGTGGGGGCCAGTCGAAAACTACTTGGTAACCACTCTGGGTAATGGTCATCACAAACTGACGTACCCGACTCATTAATTACTAGGCAAATGGAAACAGTATAGCAGGAGAGTAGAGCGGGACCAGCGACTTCCCCTGATGTGTGGATCACCTCCTTTCAGTGCTACCGCTACCCATCCCTATTTTCAGCACAGCGATGTGACGCATACCGCAATTTTGTACACATTTTAGCGACAATTAGCGCCAACCAAAATCTTAATGTTACTCACATTTTCAGACTATTTAGTGTGATTGTTGAAGTCCTAGTCTGGCTCACCATCAGTAATTACCCTTAGGTCAGGATTGTTCTTTCGTAGGTTTAAGCCTCTGACGAAGTTATTAGTGTTGGTTTTCTGTTTTCTGATTTTTAACTTGCCGTATTAGTTTTGATCTCTCGAAAGTACTATATCTCTTTCATAACTCTGCCATTTCAAAAGTCTGCATACGGTAGATCATAAAGCTTTATCAATGGAGCAAAATTTCACTCATTTCACACATGTAGCACAAAAATAACATTCACAAATCAAATAAAAATAATTATGCCTGGTCAAGATCACCAAAAGAAAAACACTTGATGACGTCATCGTTATTATTATTATTATGTGAAAAGTGATGAACAAACTAACACAATACCAAATATTGGCTACCGGCAGTTCAACGCAAGAAAAAGAAGTGCGAAGGGGTACGACTACGGTACCTGCAATACACAACAAAATTCTCAACAAAACCCGCACATATCAACTAAGAAACACTTGAACGAGGAATCAATAAGTGCCTAAGGATTAGTCGATTACGATTTGTTTGGCTACGTAGATTAGTGAGGATGCAGCTGGCTAGTTGCCAAATGCCTTATGGTTTACGGTATATGCAGCCAAACAAATCATCATCAACAGGAATGCACATTTATCGAGCGTCTAGATGTTTCGACGGACGGTTTCGCTAAGAATTTGGTCGAGAAGACGTCGTGACATATTTCGATGACGTCTGTGACGTGGCACCACTGACAATGGGCGCTTCTGTAACGACGACGATGACGACGAGTACGAAGAGGCAGCGGCAGAGGCTAGCCACATCGGAATTCGGATAGGATTGCCCATTTGGGGCAGAAGGAATCGATGAGAACGTCTTGCTGTCGGAGAAGGCAGACTTCGTTTCACAGTAGCTGTACAGCATCGAGTACATTTGGAGGGATCGGTGTAGGTGCACATTATGGTCCGAGCAGCCGCAAAGTACGAGCCGAATGAGAGTGCCGAGGCCAATGAGAACACAGAGAACGAGCAAACGCATCTGGAAACAAAGAATATTAGTAGGGTAATACAAACAAGGAAAGAATATGCTATCGATCACGAAAATAACGAAATCAAGGCAATTGGCATTATCGAATCAAATGCAATAGAAGGCAAGTGGGCGGGGCGTACTGTGCAAAGCGGTTGCGTTGCGACGGTGGGTCGGAATTTTTAGATTGCGAGTTGATTTGCCGCAACTTGAACACCGTTGCAGTAAATGGATGGCAAACCTGTTAGCGACCACTGGTACTAGCGTTGTGATACTCTCCAAGCGCCGGTTTGCAAACAGCCTTAGTCGATTCCCGCAGTTGGATGAGTGGAATGAACTAGTGAAAGTCGAGTCCAGGCGCGAAAGGATGACGCTATTAAGGAAGCGAAAACCTCACTTGCACAGAATTGGTGGGTCCTTGATGGTTATTCGCTGATTAGCTCTCTCTACCAAAATTAGCCTTTTTTCTCGGACAGGCAAGTGTTGTGCCTTTAGGAAGCTAGGTTAGTTTAGTTAAGCTGGTTTAGAGCTTATATGGAATCTTGTGGAAGACTAACATTGCCCGTCACATTTTTTCACGGCTCACAGATGGGACTTTGTTTCCACTCAGGCCTAGCAAAGCTCATCCACCTTCAAACGGTCGGAGTTACTAGATAGAAGCACTGGTATTGGAATGAATTGGGGTACGAGTGGATAAATGAAGCCAACTCAGCGCGGCGGAAACTGTACGAACATTTCATTGTCAATAGTAGACGTGTTGGATCTATTTTTCGCTTCATTTCCTTGAACGGTTGTCTATTCCCACGATTTCTACGTAAGCAGTGGCAATTTTGCAAAAATGTGTCTGGGAACCATAGCACACTGATATTGGAAGTGCAGGAATTTTGGCTCTTTGATTATAGATTTCATATAATTATCCTCAAAACCGTCCGCTCGAGCTCTCCTTTGCCTTGAGAATTTCAAAAGGTTACCAATCGTTGCCAAATTTGGCCGCGCCTTTCTTGTCACACGGGGAATGGGAAGCGAAGTCTACGCGTTTATCGCGATGATAAGCCATAATCCCTTCTGAAGCACACATTCTTGAGAGGTCTGCGTAAAACAATGATAGCTAAAAAATGGTGGCTGAACAATACTACGCCTATAGTAAGCAAACGATAGTCTGAAAGCGGGAACCTGAGTGACAACCGGTCCCAAATCGCACAACGAGAGCGCCGCTTATCGCTACTCGGCTACAAAAGTCGCCATCATAGATTCATTCATTGAGTTATGAAGAACTTTGAACTATAGCACGGATAAAGCTGAATTGTAGTAAGCAGAGGAAAATATGTATATTGTGCATCGAAAGTATCAATCTTAAGAGCATGTCAAGTACATGGCGTGAATTGGAGCTTGCAGCAATGACTGGCAGCTTTTGAAACGAAGCTGGAACTTATTGGACTAGAATTTCGGAGTTTCTATCTCCTACATTATAAATTAAGCTGCAATAAGAGTGACGATAAACATTATGAAATTGAGATTTAGACATTTTTGCGAGGGAGGCTTAGACCGTCTGAGAGGGGGATCAGAAGCGTGTGGGAGATGAAGGACAAGGAGGAAGAAGTAAAATCAGCACATCTAAGGCACGTTTGACTGGAGCATGATGTAATCATGGGAGCAAAATGTGAAAAGGTGCTAATTAGTCCGTTCGGGAGGAAAAATGCAAAGGTAAACCAACCCGCACCTCCCCTCCGAAAACGCTCTGAACAA